AAGTGCTGGGATTACAGGCTTGAGCCACTGCGCCCAGCTGTTGCTAGTCTTAAACTACTGGCCTTCAGTGATCCTCCTGCTTTGGCCTCTCAAAGTGCTGGGGTTACAGGATGGGGGAGACTGCATCCAGCCTCAAAATAATAATTTTAAAACACCAGGAAATATAGAAGTATTTAAAAATAAAACTAATGATACAACATATAATTCAGTCCTATATTGTGGTTGGCTAAGGAAAAGGCAGGAAAGAAGAAATAGAGGCCGGGCGCGGTGGCTCACGCCTGTAATCCCAGCACTTTGGGAGGCCGAGGCGGGTGGATCACGAGGTCAAGAGATCGAGACCATCCTGGTCAACATGGTGAAACCCCATCTCTACTAAAACTACAAAAAATTAGCTGGGCATGGTGGCGTGTGCCTGTAGTCCCAGCTACTCAGGAGGCTGAGGCAGGAGAATTGCCTGAACCCAGGAGGCGGAGGTTGCGGTGAGCCGAGATCGCGCCATTGCACCCCACCAAGGTCAGAAGAGCGTGAATCCCCGTCTAAAAAAAAAAAAAAAAAAAAAAAAAAGGAGACGAAATAGAGCATGTTGATGAATAAAGAGGCAAGGTGTTAAGTCGTCACTATGTGAGCCTTCAAGTGTAGACTTGGATTCAAATCTTGACTCTACCCTGCCTGAGTGTTAAATTATAGGCAAATTACTTAATCTCATCAGACTTAACTGACTTATCTGTGAATACGAATGATGCTGCCATCACCTCAGCATTAAGAATTAACCAAGAGGGTGTCTGAAAGCCTTTGGCCCACGTGCCGGGCATGCAGACAGCTCAACAAGTGACTGCCAAAAAAACAAACAAATATACTAGCACCTGAAGGCAAAAAAAAAACCAAAAAAAAAAACCAACAAACCCTCAAAAAAAAAAAAAAAGGAGAAAGAAATGGAGTCTCACCATGTTGCCCAGGCTAAAAAAGACAGTAAATTTCGGTAAACAAATAAAAGATGTTAATTAGTACCTGTTACTTGACAATACAATACTTTAAAAACTGTACACATTTTTTTTTTAAAGACAAACCGAAGCCAGAGTGCAGTGGCATGATCTTGGTTCACTTCAACTTCCGCCTCCCAGGTTCAACCAATTCTCTTGCCTCAGCCTCCGAGTAGCTGGGATTACCGGAGTCTGCCACCAAGCCTGGCTCATTTTTGTATTTTTTGTAGAGATGGAGTTTCACCATGTTGGCAAGGCTGGTCTTGAACTCCTGACCTCAAGCGATGTGCCTGCCCCAGGCTCCTAAATTGCTAGGATTACAGGTGTGAGCCACTGCACCCCGCCTATACTTAGTTTTTAATGAAAGAAGTATTTTATCCTAGAGATGGTGGGTAAAAATGTCTCAAATCCATGGAGGCTGGTATACATTCACTGTTGGTATGGTATCTTATGATACTGTCACAGAGATGCCACATTTAAAAAGCACTGAAATAAATAGGATTACTTCTTGGTAACCTAAGGGGTAGATGAAATTAAATCAAGGGGTAACTAACAGGTTCCCTACTGCTGTATTACAAATTGTTGTAGGTTGGCTGGGTGTGGTGGCTCACGCCTATAATCCCAGCACTTTGGGAGGCTGAGTCGGGCATATCATGAAGTCAGGAGTTTGAGACCAGCTTGACCATGGTGAAACCATTCTCTACTAAAAATGCAAAAATTAGCCAGCATGGTGGTGCACACCTGTAATACCAGCTACTCAGGAGGCTGAGGCAGGAGAATCGCTTGAACCTGGGAGGCAGAGGTTGTAGTGAGCCAAGATCGCACCACTGCACTCCAGCCTGGGCGACAGAGCAAGACTCTGTCTCAAAAAAAAAAAAAAAAAAAAAAGCTGTAGTGGGTCAAAATTATGCCTAACCATCCAGCATGGTGGCTCATTCCGGTAATCTCAGCAGTTTGGGAGGCTGAGGCAGGTGGATCACTTGGTCAGGAGTTCAAGACCAGCCTGTCCAGCATGGTCAAACCTTGTCTGTACAAAAATTACAATATATTGAGTTGAGGTTGGTGGCTCATGCCTGTAATCCCAGCACTGTGTGAGGCTGAGGCAGGCGGATCATTTGAGCCCAGGAGTTCTAGACCATCCTGGGCAACATAATGAAACCTGTCTCTTAAAAAAAACACATAACAGGCCGGGCGCGGTGGCTCAAGCCTGTAATCCCAGCACTTTGGGAGGCCGAGGCGGGTGGATCACGAGGTCAAGAGATCGAGACCATCCTGGTCAACATGGTGAAACCCCGTCTCTACAAAAAATACAAAACATTAGCTGGGTATGGTGGCGCGTGCCTGTAATCCCAGCTACTCAGGAGGCCGAGGCAGGAGAATTGCCTGAACCCAGGAGGCAGAGGTTGCGGTGAGCCGAGATTGCGCCATTGCACTCCAGCTTGGGTAACATGAGTGAAACTCCGTCTCAAAAAAAAAAAAAAAAAAAAAAAAAAAACCACATAACAAAACAATGTATTAGCTGGCTGTGATGGCACGTGCCTGTAGTTCCAGCTACTTGGGAGGTTGAGGCAGGAGAATCGCTTGAACCTGGGAGGTGGAGGTTGCAGTGAGCCAGCATCACACCACTGCACTCCAGCCTGGCTGACAAGGCAAGACTGTCTCAAAAAAAAAAAAAACAAATCACACAAGACAAGAAACCCCCACAAAACCCAGAAAACCAAGAAACAAAATTATGCCTAAATAAAGTTGTTTAAAGTCTCTATACATATCAATGAAGAGAGAAAAATGTCTCTTCAAAAATGAAGAGAGCCAAGAAGTTTTCTCTTTTTGGTCAACGATCTGGCTGTCACATTTTAAGAACGACTGTAAGATAAAGAAATACACAACATGCCCCTCCATTCCTCTGCCCCCTCAAAGAGGAATACCGTGTATCTATGAAGAAGCCTTTGGCGTTTGCACATTCCCGGAGCTCCGAAAAGAACTCCTGGTGTGGAGGAGGGTGCTGGCGCAGCAAGGCCTGATGAGGGAAGCTCTCCCAGATCTTCTTGGCCACCCAGTGGTTGGCCAGGATCATGCATTCGGCCACTGTCTCATGGACTTCCAGGGGCTGCTTGGGGATGAGGTCGTGAATATTCTTTTTCTCATCTAGCTGTACGCGAACCTCCACCCCTTCCAGTTCCAGGGCACCACATCCGTCTCGTTTAGCTCTGACATGGCGAGCTATGTCGGTCAGCTTTCCAATTGCCCACACTAACTCCTCCAGCTTGGCTTGTCTGCTCTTCTCATCCAAGTCTCTGAATTCTGGAATATCATCAACAATGCTGAAGTTTCCATCCAGTAGTTCCTGGGCTGCTTCATAGAACAGTTTGTATGCTGATCGAATAATGGTTCTGCCATACCACACTTTCTTAATTTCATAAGAGGTTTTATCCAATTCCCACATGATGCTTACAGCATACCTGTAAAACCAGTAACATTGACAACATCACTATTCAATTCATCTTTTTTTTTTTTTTTTTTGAGACAGTCTTGCTCTGTCACCCAGGCTGGAGTGCAGTGGTGCGATCTTGGCTCACTGCAACCTCTGCCTCCTGGGTTCAAGTGATTCTTCTGCCTCAGTCTCCTGAGTAGCTGTGACTATAGGCGTGTGCCCGCATGCCTGGCTAATTTTTGTATTTTTAGTAGAGATGGGGTTTCACGGCGTTAGCCAGGATGGTCTCAATCTCCTGACCTTGTGATCTGCCTGCCTTGGCCTCCCAAAGTGCTGGGATTACAGGTGTGAGCCACCACACCAACCCGGGTTGTTTTTTGTTGTTTTTTTTTGAGACAGGGTCTTGCTCTGTCACCCAGGCTGGAGTACAATGGCATGATCACTGCTCACTGCAGCCCCAATCTCCTGGGCTTGAGCAATTAATTCTCCTGCCCAAAGTGCTGGGATTATAGGTGTAAGCCACCATGCCTCACTTAATTCTTCTATTTTTGAAGCAAGTAGAATTTAACCTAACTGTAACTTAAAAGAAATTACAATGCTACAAGTTTCTGGTTTGATATGTCAATCCAACCACCCTACCACTAAATCAAAAAATATTTTAAATTAAAACGACAAAGTTAGACTGGGTTCTGCTGAGCTCTGAACAAATTTCAAATGAGTTTATATGTGACATTACAAACCCTGCCTTATTTCCTCCATTTTGATTAGAAAGGCAAGACAGATAGAGTCAGGTCTATTTAGCTCCTCTGTAAATTAGAGCAAGTCTTGCAGATCCTACAGGATGACACTGAACTGTGATATCAATCTTGATGACAGCTAAATTAGCAAAAAATTTATTTAGTAAAAAACCTCTTTGCCACCAAATCATTTTATTTAAAAATGTAAATATTTGCAACTCCTAAAAAACAGGGCTGATTTCCCTAATATGTAAAGAGCTTTTACAAATTAATTAATAATTGATCTTAAACCCAAAAGAAAAATGGGTAAAGAATATGAAGTATTTCACAGAAAGGGATGCATAAGTGACTGTTAAGCATACTAAAAAATGGTTAGCTTTAAGCCAGGTGCGGTGGTTCAGGCCTGTAACCCCAGCACTTTGGGAGGCGGAGGCAGGTGGATCATGAGGTCAGGAGTTCAAGACCAGCCTGGCCAACATGGTGAAACCCCGCCTCTAATAAAATACAAAAATTAGCTGGGGGCATGGTGGTGCGTGCCTGTAATCTCAGCTACTCTGGAGGCTGAGGCTGAGTTCAAACTCCTGCTTGAAGCAGGACCCAGGAGGCAGAGGTTGCAGTGAGCAGAGATCGTGCTACTGCACTCTAGCCTGGGCTACAGAGTGAGGCTCTGTCTCAAAAAAAAAAAAAAAAAAAAAAAAAAAGGTTAGCTTTATTCCTTTTATGGTAATAATGCAAATTAAAACCACTCTAAGATACCATTTTTAATGTATCAAATTGGCAAAGATAAAAAAAATACAACGTATTGTATTGGCAAAGCTGTGGGAAAAGAAGCCCTCTCATACCTTAGCGGCAGGAACATAACTGATGTAACCTTAAGGAGACCAATTTGATCATAATGATCGAAACACAAATGCACAAACTCTTGACACAGAAATCTCATAGTCACACATGGGAATGTCTCTTTCACATATACTGTACTTTAAAAAATGTGAAATGGGCTGGGCATGGTGGCTTACATCTGTAATCCCAGCACTTTGGGAGGCCAAGGCAGGAGGATCACTGGAGCCCAGGAGTTCAAGACCAGCCTAGGCAACATGTGAAACTCTGTCTCAGAAAAAAAAACAAAAATGAAAATGAAAATGTGAAATGACTTATATTCAAAGTTAACTATGTATAGCTTTGTTTGTAATACCAAAAGACTGAAAACTATCCAAATTTCCACAGATAGTGCAACTGTTACTAATATGGAATGATCTCCAAGATACCATTAAGATTTTCTTATCTTTTGTTTTTTTTGAGATAGAGTCTCGCTCTGTCATCAAGGTTGGAGTGCAGTGGCGAGATCTTGGCTCACTGCAACCTCTGCCTTCCAGGTAGCTGGGACTACAGGCATGCGCCACCACATCCGGCTAGTTTTGTATTTTCAGTAGAGATGGGGTTTCACCATGCTGGCCAGGCTGGTCTCCAACTCCTGACCTCATGTGATCCACCCACCTCGGCCTCCCAAAGTGCTGGGATTACAGATGTGAACCACCATGCCTGGCCTAAGTATTTTTTTTTTTTTTTTTTTTTAAAGTAAGGTGCTAAATGGTATATTTATATGATGCCACCATTTGTGTAAAAAAAAGATCACATATGCATATTTGTGTGTGTATTATATCTAGGAAAACTAATACAGAACTGGCAAATGAGGGAAAGTGATAGGGAGGAACCTTTCATTAAACACCTCTTGGGACCTGTGAGTTTGAGCCTATATGATTCTATTACCGATTCAAAGAGAAACAAACTTTAACCTCAACGAATGAACAAAGAAAAAACTCCCCAAGTAAATGATCCTTATGCCAAACAACTTCAACCAGGGAATGCATAAGCACAAAGCTACACACATGTGTTCTCAGATTTTAACTGACTTTAAAAAGCCAGCGACAGAGGGAGACGCAGTCCCACCGCTAGCAGACAGAAGAGAGGACAGAAAGGTCAGGGAAGGCTGGAGAAGTAAAGCTGTCTAAAGGTAAGTGGTGTGGGGATGGGGTTGGGGGTGGGCTTGAGAGGTCAGACGGGAGACACAGCAGAGAAGAAAAAAGAGGGCAGGGGGCCACAGAAGAGCCAGGACAAGCTTTGAAGACAAAAGCCATAAACTCACCTATCAACGCCTCCCAGGAGGGAACACAAATCAGCACTGAGGACGGAAGGCAGCATGTCGTAACGACGATCTGCTAAGTAGTAAGTGGTGGCCCTGTGAATGACACACACGTGGCAACGTGACCTTCAATGGAGAGAAGCAGAACTGCTGACTGTGTGGACTGCAGGGAGGCAAATGGCCAAAATCTCACTACAGATTCCCCGAGGCTGCTGCAGTTTCATAAAGCGCAGCAGACTGGGTGATGAAGCGATTCCCATGGTCCCACTTTTCTCAGTGAGACTGCTTTGGGCTGAATATTCTTCCACTGATATGAGAAAGAAGGGGCAAGTGACATGAATCTTCATTGTAGAAGAAAAATTGGAGAGTAATGATGCAGTGTTTATATAAAATAGTATAATTACTACACGAAAATTTAACCCATTTCGATTTAGTAGGAAACGTGTGAAAAGGTTATGTTAAAAAGGAAAGGTAAATCGACCAAGGTACTGTTTCTCTAAAGGAAAACGGGGAGTGGACCTCAACTTTTTTTTTTTCTGGAAGGGACCTTCAGAATTGCACAAATATGAGATCTTTGTTTTGAACACCTGAAACTAGTACAGACACAAAATATATAGTCACATACAACCATAGTGTGATTTCAAATAATATTACCTTGTTCTAGCTTCAATATCAATGGAAGAATTTGGTGCCACAAAGTGTGTTACATCTGCAATGTGGACCCCAAGTTCCAGGTCGCCATTGTGTAAGGTTCTGACTGAGAGTGTGTCATCCACATCTTCACAACCTTTGGGGTCAATGCTGAACACAAGATGGCTTTTCCTCAAGTCTTTACGTTCTTGTTCCTCTTCAGGACTCACCTTCCAGGGGTTTTCTGGTGTGTTCACCGGCATCTCACACATCTGCATGAGAGGCCAAATATTCAGCAATTCATGTACCACAGATTTCTATAAAAATCCATTCTCTAATATTCTCAATGTGACCACATACAAATTCACTGATTCTCAATTACCTTCTGCATCAACCTGTGTTGGCTTCCTTTGATCAATAATTGTTTATTCATTGCCTCAGATGTCTTGGGTACTGTGCTGGGTTCTGGAAAGTCAGGAGTCAACAAGAAAGACGAAGTTCCCCACCCCTGATGCCCCACACAGTTGGACAGAAGATGCCCCACAACGACTACCAGCCTGTTTGGTTACAGGGGCTTGGAATGAGAGTACAACATGCAGCCCATTTTCAAACAATCTGTTTGTCTAAATGTAGTTGAGCTTTAAATTTAAGCCTTGAAAAAATAATAAACATGTCCCAAATATTAAAAGTTTACCCCTTAAAGATAATTTTATACAGGACCTATCTAGGGCATTTTCTCTCCATTATTATCTGTTTAAGCCATCAATTTGCAGCTAAGTAGGCTAACGGGGAAGAGAAAATTCCAGTCCTATGATGTCTAGCCCACACTTTATTTTATTGTAACGCTTTCACTAAGAGCTGCCAAACAAGTCAACAAATAATTTCCAGAAACTAATGTTAAATATAAAAATTTAATGATGTAAAATATTCTAAAATAATGTACTGTTCTGTGAAAAAGTATAATGAAAATAAGAACACCCAGACACTCCTTATGGCAATGCAAATGGGTCCAATGTTTCTGGAGAACAATCTGCTACTGTATATCAAAAGCTATTTAGCTATTTAAAGCTTTTGTACCCTTTGACTTGGTAATCTCACTTTAAGGATTACATTCCAAGAGAATGACAGAAAGAAATTAAAAAGCAGTGTTTATAAAAATGTTTGAGCCGGGTGCGGTGGCTCAAGCCTGTAATCCCAGCACTTTGGGAGGCCGAGGCGGGTGGATCACGAGGTCAAAAGATCGAGACCATCCTGGTCAACAAGGTGAAACCCCGTCTCTACTAAAAATACAAAAAATTAGCTGGGCATGGTGGCGCGTGCCTGTAATCCCAGCTACTCAGGAGGCTGAGGCAGGAGAATTGCCTGAACCCGGGAGGCGGAGGTTGCGGTGAGCCGAGATCGCGCCATTGCACTCCAGCCTGGATAACAAGAGCGAAACTCCGTCCCCCCCAAAAAAAAAGTTGAAATTTTTTTTTTTTTTTTTGAGACGGAGTCTCACTCTGTCGCCCAGGCTGGAGTGCAGTGGTGCGATCTCGGCTCACCGCAACCTCCGCCTCCCGGGTTCAAGTGATTCTCCTGCCTCAGCCTCCCGAGTAGCTGGGACTAACAGGCACACACGCTAATTTTTGTATTTTTTAGCAGAGACGGGGTTTCACCATGTTGGCCAGGCTGGTTTTGACTCCCAATCTTGTGACCCACCCACCTAGGCCTCCCAAAGTACTGGGATTACAGGCGTGAGCCACCGCACCCAGCCTACATTTGTTTTTTATAATACTGAAAAATTAAACACCTGAATGCCCAGCAATTGAGAAATGCTTAAGCAAACTAGGGTACATCAATATTCTGTAATTCACCGAAACTATTAAAATAAGTAGGCTATATCAATATATAAAATAATTTTAAGCGAAAGAAGCAGAACAGAAATTAATGTGTGCACACGACAAATACAGTCATGTAAGAAGAACACAGGAAATGTATGAGGGTTTTAAAAGATCATAAAGTGATGGAAATAGCTGACGTTTTATGTTTATGGGTTGTTGTTTTCTGTAAAGGTCACAAAAAGTGTTTCATAATGAGTGTAATTTTTGACCCATGGGTCGGAGATGTATGGATCCCAGGAATCCACTCCCTGCAGCTTTATGTGGCCTCTGGTTAAATGATTTGGACAGAGAGTGGAGCTCAGTTGGGTCTGAAACTGGGTATCCTTGAAGTTACTGGGGATCGATGTACACTGACTATAAGACACTGACATATCATTTTTAAGCCCAGTGGAAAACAGAAAAATTTGAGAGCTGTGAGGCTATAGAAAACTAATTCTACACTTGAAACTGACTTCAGTTTGGTCCAAATATAGAATAAAGAGGAGTGAGATTTTTCTATTATCTGTGGCTTTACCCAGTGGGTTGTTACATAGCACAAAGATTTTTCTTTCTTTTTTTTCTATTTTTAAAAACGTTACCCAGAAAACAGAATGCCTCCTCTAATAAGATTTGTCTTTCTTAATGATGAAACAAACAACAACGAAAGCAAAAAGAAAATGTCATTAGATCAAAGGCTTCTGGAAAACCAGACCTGAGCTTCCGAGAAAGGGAGAACTGAAATACTGTTTTCCACCAGGATGGCTGCAATTTCCCCTTCCAGATCTCTGATTCTTCCTAAAACACGCACAAAGTGTCCATTTGGATACACAGATGTTGACTCCCAGGAATCAATGCGCACCACCACCCTGAAGTCCTGCACAAAGGGAAAAACCAAAACACAGCTGAGTACCCAGTTAAGTGGGTCAATTAGGGGCATCAAACAAACAAGAGGCAAACAGCAGTGGCTTCCAAAGAGAGTGGCCAATGGCAAAAAGTGGTGCACAGTAGGGTTTTTTTTGTTTTTCATTCTTCCTGTTACTAAATTGCCAGATGGTATGAAATGCTTGGCCCAATGCTTTGAAAGGAGGTATTACCTCTCTACATCAATGAAGAGGACTAGAAATTTTAGTCTGCTAAAGAGAGCCGATTGTAATACATTCTAGTTAACACTTGCAACACAAGAAGAAAACTCAATTATGGATGGTCCAAATTAGGTTTTAAAACAACAATCTTAATGTTTCGTGTGTGGCAGGAAGCTCCTAATTTCTTTGAAGTCTTTTTTTTTGAGATGGAGTCTCACTCTGTCGTCCAGGCTAGAGTGCAGTGGTACTGTCTTGGCTTACTGCAGCCTCTGGCTCCTGGGGTCAATTGATCCTCCTGCCTCAGCCTCTCAAGTAGCTGGAATTACAAGTGAGTACCATCATGCCCAGTTAATTTTTGTATTATTATTATTTTTTTTTTTTGTAGAAATGGGGTTTCACCATGTTGGCCTGGCTGGTCTTGAACTCCTGGCCTCAAGTGATGCGCCTACCTTGGCCTCCCAAAATGCTAGAATTACAGGCATGAGCCACTGCGCACGGCCTCTTTGAAGACCTCCTAAGATGGTCTCTGGTGGAGAAGACGGTATCGGTGTAAACTGAATCCCCACTACCCAAAAATTCCAGCAAACCATGGGAATGGAAAACAGGGTAACTGTTTTAATGGATGCAATTGGCCTGAAGAGCCTGCAATAAGGCTTGAAGATGTAAAGAGCACAACGGCCAGTCACTGGCTGGACACAGCCTCCTTTACTGTCTCATTCACATACTGTGAAGTATCAGGGGGAATTAAATTGGGCAATGCCCATACTCTGACACAGTAAAGGTTAATTTCTAACTTTCCTGTTTATGTCTTCTCTCCAGTGCTATATTCCTTTATGGATAATCAATTCTGCGAAGTACCAGTACATCATCCCTACGGGGCAGAGTGATCGTATTTCTATATTGCTTGCTGGAGGAAAGCTTGTTAGTGTTGGCAAAGTGTATCTATTGGAAGTTTCTGTGTTGGACAGCTGGATAATGTATGTTCTCTCTGGTTGTCCTACACAGCTCTTTCTAGGACAATTTCTCTCTGGCCTGAATTTATTCACCACAGACTACTTAATGGATAGTTCTCATATATTTAGAGTCTTTTAAAAAAACAGAATTTTTTTTATAGCTTTTCAGAAACAAAAAAGAAAAAAAATAAAGAAATAAAAAAACCCAGAATGTTGGGGCTGGGCACGGTGGCTCACGGCTGTGATTCCAGCACTTTGGGAGACCAAGGTGGGAGGATTGCCTGAGGTCAGGAGTTTAAGACCAGACTGTGCAACAAAGTGGAACCCCATCTTTACAAAAAATGAATTAAAAAACAAAAAAACATGGCTGGGCATGGTGGCTCATGCCTGTAATCCCAGCACTTTGGGAGGCGGAGGTGGGTGGATCACGAGGTCCAGGAGTTCGAGACTAGCCTGGCCAAGATGGTGAAGCCCCGTCTCCACTAAAAATATAAAAATTAGCCAGGCAGGGTGGCAGGTGCCTGTAATTCCAGCTACTCAGGAGGCTGAGGCAGGAGAATCGCTTGAACTCAGGAGTGGAGGCTGCAGGGAGCCGAGATCACGCCACTGCATTCTAGCCTGGGCGAGAGTAAGACTCCATCTTGAAAAAAAAAAACAACACCCAAAAACACATCCCAGTATTTTGGAATGCCACATGCCATCAATAATTTATTTCCTTATATGCAAAGGAATTAATGACGCTTTCTGGTACTGCTAAAAGGCTGGCAAAGAACGGAGAAGAGTAGAGATCCCACAGTAGAGGTAGAATGCTAGATACCTGGAGGGCTTCTGCTTGTTGAGTGCTAATTCGAATTTTGGGAATTCTGTAATCCCAAGGTGTAACCAGGATTTTCTGAGCATTTTTGCCCTGAGATTGGACCTCTTCTTTGGATGGAAATGTCACCACATAATCCCGCCAGTTCTTCTGAAGTATGCCCACCACTCGACCTTTGGGGAAACAAAACAAAGCATTAATTGGTTAGTTGCCACCTATCTGGCTTCTGACCACCTCAGCAGTAAGGAAAGGAACAAGAAATACAGTGTCCTATTTTTTTTTTTTTTTTTAGCACATCCACCCAAATCAAGAATGTTTTTGAAAGGAAGCTTTTATTAACAATAACAACAGCTGGGTGTGGTGGCTCATGCCTCTAATTCCAGCACTTTGGGAGGCTAAGGTGGGTGGATCACTTGAGGCCAGGAGTTCAAGACCAGCCTGGCCAACATGGTGAAATCCTGTCTCTAATAAAAGTACAAAAATTAGGCTGGATGTGGTGCCTCATGCCTCTAATCCTATCTGCTTGGGAGGCTGAGGTGGGAACTGCCTGAACCTGGGAGGCGGAGGTTGCATTGATCCAAGATGGCACCACTACACTCCAGCCTGGGCAACAGAGTGAGACTCTGTCTCAAAAACAAACAAAACACACACACACAGACACAACAACAAGAAAAGATATGTTTATCCTTGTTAGTTTAGTGGTTAAAGAAAAAAGAAGATACATTTAAAGATTTTCCTTCTTAGTATTTTATTTTAAAGATGGATAATCTAAAAACACTTTTTGAGCCAAGATTGTGCCATTGTACTCCGTATCGAAAGAAAAGTTTCTTTTTCCTTCCTTCCTTCCTTCCTTCTTTCCCTTCCTCCCTCCCTCCCTCCTTCCTTCCTTCCTCCCTCCCTCCTTCCCTTCCTTCCTTCTCTCTCTCTCTTTTTCTCTCTCTCTCTCTTTTGAAACACTATCTCACTATGTTGCCCAGGCTATAGTGCACTGGCTATTCGTAGGCATTATGACAGTGCACGACAGTCTTGAGCTCCTGGGCTCAATCCATCCTCCTGGGTAGCTGGGTATATAGGCGCATGCCATCATGCCCAGCAAAGATGGGTAAATTTTTTTGTTTTTTTGAAATTCGGTTTCACTCTTGTCGCCCAGGCTGGAGTACAAAGGCACAATCTCCGCTCACTGCAACCTCCACCTCCCAGGTTCAAGTGATTCTCCTGCCACCCGAGCAGCTGGGATTACAGGCACCCAACACCACGCCTGGGTAATTTTGTATTTTTTTAGTAATGACGGGGTTTTGCCATGTTGGTCAGGCTGGTCTAGAACTCCTGACCTCAGGTTGTCCACTCACCTTAGCCTCCAAAGTGCTGAGATTACAGGTGTGAGCCACCACACCCAGCCAAAGACGGGTAACTTTTTTTTTTTTTTTTTTTGAGACAGAGTCTTGCTTTGTCACCCAGGCTGGAGTGCAATGGCGCGATCTCAGCTCACTGCAACCTCCACCTCCTGGGTTCAAGCAATTCTCCTGCCTCAGCCTCCCGGGTAGCTGGGACTACAGGCACGTGCCACCATGCCCAGTTAATTTTTTTTGCATTTTTAGTAGAGACGGGGTTTCACCATGTTGGCCTGGATGGTCTCGATCTCTTGGCCTTGTGATCCACCCACCTCGGCCTTCCAAAGTGCTGGGATTACAGGTGTGAGCCACCACGCCTGGCTCCCCAACTCACTTTCTCAAGGATCACTGTGCCTCTGAGTGGAGAAAAGACTACACCAGGAGGGGGAAGGGTGAGAGCAGGGAGAGCAGCCTGGAGGCGGCTGAGATAGTCCCGAGGTGCCAGTGGACTGAAGCGGGAGAGCTGTGGGGGAAGTGTGGCAGGTGGCTGAATTCAGGCCACGCATTAGAGTTGGAGCTGCCAGCATTTGCTGATGAGTGAAATGATAACCCCAAGGTGTCTTGGGTTGACGAATTTGCCCTTTACTGAAACTGGGGAACACGCTGGGAAGGGCAGGTCTGGGGGTAAAATCAGGAGTCTGCATGGGACATGTTAAGTATGAGATGCCATTAGACATCCAGGGGAAGATGTCAAATAGACCACCGAGTAAACAAAACCAGAAGCTGAAGAAGGGCTGGAGATACAAAATCAAATGACTGCAGGAGATCCCTGAGGGAAACAGTGCAGAGGACAGGAGATTCAGCATGGGGCCCTTGCACATCCAAGAGGACAATGAGATGGAGAGCCAGGAGAGGATCTGAGAAGAGCAGCCCGTGGATGGGAGAACCGAGAGAAGTCCAAGGCAAGGCAGAAGCCCTCTAGCCAAATGCTGCTGACCGTTCCAGCTGATGGGGGCCGACCAGTGCTCTGGCAATGAGGTCACTGGTGACCTTGGAAAGAGCAATTTGGATGGAGGGTAGGGGTTGGGAGATGTCACAATGGCAGGTATGAGAGGCCAGCAGGGAGGAAGAGGTAACATGGAGTTAACCATACTCTGACTTTCATGATAAGAGGCAGTAGCTGAAAGGGACGTGGGACCCAGAGAGGATTTCTGGTTTGATTTTAAGATGGAAGCCATTACAGCATGTTTGGGTGCTGATGAGATGAAATAAACCTGCAGAGAGGGGAAACTGATGATGGAGGGGCAGAGACTGTATCTCGTGTTAGAAAGTAGTATTCTACAACTTGTGACTAGAGTTAATAACAATGCACTGTATTCTTGAAAATCGCTGAGAGAGTAGATCTTAAATGTTCTCACCACACAGTGTGTGAGGTTAATGGCCATTCTCCAATGTATTATCTCAAAACATCATATTATACACAATAAATACACACAGTTTTTATTTGTCCATTTAAATTAATTAATGACTTAAATAAAGGCGGTATTTCTGGCTTGCTAAAGAGAAGAAAAATATAATTCCACAAGAAAAATGGACACTGGAGTGGCTCTCCAGCGGGCTCACCGGTAGGCATGGGCTCACTTGGGGACTCGCCCGAGGCTCTGTCATCACTGTCATTCTCACTCAGGGCTGCAGTCCTCCCTTTCCATTCATTTTTAGGGAGCAGCTCCACAGCTACCACATCCCCATGAATCGAGCGGTTTCGAGCCTTCATCCCGTGGATTAGGATGTCACTGACTAAATCTGTGTTTGGGGCAGCACAGAAAAAAATCCATAAAGCCAGGGGAATGTCACATCAGTGAGGCATTCCGCGCATAATATATTCCAAGTCTAATCAGCACTCCTGCAAATAAAGCTTCTTCCTTTCAGAGGTAAAGTCAAACTTCTTTCATTCTGCAGGCTAGGAATGAAGAATTGCTGGCACTGTGTCATTCTGTATAATGAGCTTTCCTAAGCGCCACCTTCAATCATCTTTTAAAAAATAATCTCCCCCCCACCTCACCACCTTTTAAAAAGGTGTTAGTTCCCTGCATGCAATTATGTGAGCCTATGCTGGAATTCTGCCCAATACCTTCAGGATCCTACACAGCCAAGGGACTGGTCAGTGGGCTGAGGAGCTATAAATAAGGCAGAACCGACAGGGAGAATTCTGACTAGCAACAGCCCACAGAAAGCCAGCTGTTCGTTCTCCCTCCACCCAGCCGTGCTCCTTTGACTCCCAGGGTTTCTTTCTCACCCTGTCATTACAAAACTAAGAACTACACTTGATTATGATACAACTTATTTACACATTTTTTTCGTTTTTATTATTTAAAAAAATTATTCCAATAAAGTAATATATCGCATCGAGGCAGCACTGAGTATTATTTTAAAATCACAGCCAAACTGCCTTGGCTACAAGTTCAGCTCCACCACTTACCAGGAGTGTGACCCTGGGCAAATTACTTTGCTTCTCTGTATTGTAGTTTAAATTTAATATGATAAAATCAGAAATTATAGAAAAAAAAAAAAACTAGGGGAAAAGCCCCCACAATCCCACATAGACAGTGGATACCGGCACACAGGACAGGGCACATCTGACACGACAATTTCAACTTTGCTTTCTTCATTGTATAATGTCAGAATGAAAGAGTGGTATGGAACTTTATGTAAGGTTTATACTGAACCTGAATCTTTGCTGCTGGCTCCTTGAAGTCGAACAAAAGCTTCTATTTGGGCTCTGTGTTTGTTGACATTCAGAATTCCCTAAAATCATAATAAAAAATCTATGTGAAAAATGTTTTTTTCTGCCTGGTTTATCTTCGAAAGTTCCAGTTTTTTAAAACTATGTGAAAACATCCCCATAATATTCTTTTAAGGTTTGTGATCCCTTTAGAAATTATATATATATATAAAATTATTATTTTGGAATAATAGATATATCTTTTTTTTGTTTTCTTGTGTTTTTTTTTCTTTTTCTAATATATATTTTCAAGACGGAGTCTTGCTCTGTCACTATCTTGGCTCACTGCAACATCTGCCTCCTAGGTTCAAGTAATTCTCCTGCCTCAGCCTCCCAAGTAGCTGGGATTACAAGCATGCGCCACTATGCCCAGCTAAGTTTTTGTATTTTTTTTTTTTTTTTTTTGAGACGGAGTTTCACTCATGTTACCCAGGCTGGAGTGCAATGGCGCGATCTCGGCTCACCGCAACCTCCGCCTCCTGGGTTCAGGCAATTCTCCTGCCTCAGCCTCCTGAGTAGTTGGGATTACAGGCACGCGCCACCATGCCCAGCTAATTTTTTGTATTTTTAGTAGAGACGGGGTTTCACCATGTTGACCAGGATGGTCTCGATCTTTTGACCTCGTGATCCACCCGCCTCTGCCTCCCAAAGTGCTGGGATTACAGGCTTGAGCCACCGCGCCCGGCCAGTTTTTGTATTTTTAGTAGAGACAGGGTATCACCATGTTGGCCAGGCTGGTCTTGAACTCCTGACCTTGTGATCCACTTCGGCCTTCCAAAGTGCTGGGATTATAGGCGTGAGCCACCGTGCCTGGCTAGGAATAATATTAATCACTAAGATTTATTTCCTCCAGAGAAAAACACCATCATTTTGAACTACTCTTAGCTATACAAAGCGCTGAAAGTACCAGGCTCTATCTAATGTAACTGATGAGTAGTCTTTAAAAAATCTTCTATCAGGCCGGGCGCGGTGGCTCAAGCCTGTAATCCCAGCACTTTGGGAGGCCGAGGCGGGTGGATCACGAGGTCAAGAGATCGAGACCATCCTGGTCAACATGGTGAAATCCCGTCTCTACTAAAACTACAAAAAATTAGCTGGGCATGGTGGCGCGTGCCTGTAATCCCAGCTACTCAGGAGGCTGAGGCAGGAGAATTGCCTGAACCCAGGAGGCGGAGGTTGCGGTGAGCCGAGATCGCGCCATTGCACTCCAGCCTGGGTAACAAGAGCGAAACTCCGTCTCAAAAAGAAAAAAAAAAAAAAAATTAGCTGGGCATGGTGGCACATGCCTGTAATCCCAGCTACTTGGGAGGCTGCTGAGGAAGGAGAACTGCTTGAACCAGGACCTAGGAGGCGGAAGTTGCAGTGAGCGCAGATCCCACCACTGCACTCCAGCCTGGGCTACAGAGTAAAACTCTTGTCTTTAAAGAAGAAAAAAAAAAAAAAAAAATTGGCCAGGCATGGTGGCTCAAGCTTGTAATCCCAACACATTGAGAAGCTGAGCTGGGAGATGCCTTGAGGCCAGGAGTGTGAGACCAGCCCAGGCAACACAGGGAGATCCCCAACTCTACAAAAATTTAAAAATTAGCCAGGCGCAGTGGAATGTACCTGTAGTCCCAGCTACTTGGGAGGTTGAGGCGGGAGGATCTATGATTGTCCCACTGCACTCAAAACTGGGTGACAGAGCAACATTCTGTCCCTAAACAAGAAATGAAACAGCAAAGTGCTGGGGATTACAGGCATGAGCCACCACACCCTGCCTATAGATCTATTTCTAAAACCAAAATTGTTGCAAAGTAGATAAACCTATATTCTTACCATTATTGCTAACAAAATCTTCATGTAAAATAGGAAGATCAAGTCGAATTCGTTTTAAACAGGTCTGAAAATAAAAAGAGATTATTTATTTTTACCTCTTTACCAATAATGTTATGGGGGGATATAGTAATTTGCAATTAATTTTCCCTCTCTACCAAAAGAGATTTCAAAAAGCAATCTAGCCTCAACTAAATCTTTTTTTGTTGTTGTTGTTTTTTTGAGACAGAGTCTTGCTCTTTCATCCAGTCTGGAGTGCAGTGGCACAAACTCAGCTTACTGCAGCCTCCACCTCCCATGTTCAAGCAATTCTCCTGCCTCAGCCTTCCAAATAGCTGGGATTACAGGCGCATGCCACTATGCCCAGCTAATTTTTGTATTTTAGTAGAGACGGGGTTTCACCATGTTAGCCAGGATGGTCTTCATCACCTGACCTCATGATCTGCCCCACCTCAGCCTCCCAAAGTGCTGGGACTACAGGCGTGAGCCACCACGACCCGCCTAGCCTCAACTGAATCTATCTTATCATTTAGCATTGTGAATATTAATAATCATCTCAACACTTACCTGAACTTCCTTTTTACTTCCCAGGTATTCAACTCTGTCAATAAAATCCTCAAACTGCAGTTTAGGGAATAGTCTATGTGCCCAGTGCTCCATGTGTCTGATTAGCGTCTTCAAGTCTTCAGCCTGGCACATAAAAATAAAAATGCTAAGGAGTCTCATTCTCACAGCTGACCCTGTCAGCAAGTTTCAGAACTGAAAAGCTATGCCAAAATCACTGGGGTCATTTTATATTCTTAAGGTTGAAAAACTTATAAAAGGAAGTTTAATAAGAAAAATATTGGCCAGTCACAGCGGTTCACGCCTGTAATCACAGCACTTTGGGAGGCCTACGCGGACAGATCACTTGAGCTCAGGAGTTCAAGACCAGCCTGGGCAACGTGGTGAGACCCCTTATCTACTAAAAACACAAAACACATCCAGTCCTGGTGGTGCACGCCTGTGGACCAAGCTACTCAGGTGGCTGAGGTGGAAGGATTTTTAGCCTGGAAAGCAGTGGTTCCAGTGACAAGTTCACACCACTGCACTCCAGCGTGACAGGGTGAGATCCTATCTCCCAGAAAAAAAAAAAAAGAGAGAGAGAGAAATTAAGACCTTAGAGTACTGCAGTCTAAAAGAGCACTGGATAGATTTTTTTCTTTTTTCTGAGAGACAGTCCCACTCTGTCAGCTAGGCTAAGTGCAAGGGAGCAATCTGGGTTCACTGCAATCTCTGCCTTCCAGGTTTAAGCGATTCTTCTCCCTCAGCCTCCTGAGCAGCTACGATTAGAGGCGTGTACCACCACTCCCGGCTAATGTTTTGTTTGTTTTGAGGTAGAGTTTTGCTCTTGTTGCCCAGGATGGAGTGCAATGGTGCAATCTCCGCTCCCTGCAACTTCTGCCTCCTGGGTTTAAGCAATTCTCCTGCCTGAGCCTCCCAAGTGCCTGGGATTATAAGCATGCACCACCATGCTCCAGCCAATTTTGTATTTTTTAGTAGAAACAGGGTTTCTCCATGTTGGTCAGGCTGGTCTCAAGCTCCTGACCTCAGGTAATCTTCCTGCCTCAGCCTACCAAAGAGCTGGGCTCACAAAGGGGTGAGCCACTGTGCCCAGCCTAATTTTGTATTCTGTAGTGGAGATGGGGTTTTACCATGTTTCCTGCCCTCAAGTGATCTGCCCTGGCCTCCCAAATTGCTGGGATTACAGCAGGAGCCATGGCGTCTAGCCTGGATAGAAATTCATAAAAATTAGATGAAAAAAAATCCCAGTACAAAAATTTAATAAAGTTGGCCGGGCACAATAGCTGACACCTATAATCCCAGCACTTTGGGAGGCCGAGGTGGGTGGATCACCTAAGGTCAAGAGTTCAAGACCAGCCTGGCCATCTTGGTGAAAACCATCTTTAAAAATAAATAAATAAATAAATACAATGATTAAGAATAGTATCTTAAAGCATTCTGAGAGTTCCAAGAACACAATAATGGGTCCACATTTTTATTGATATTTTAAAAAACAAAGGTCTAACATAAAAATCAGACAGTTCTTACCTCATGACCTTTACCTTTGAATTTTGCCTTATCAAATACATGCCTTAAGGCTGGAAGTCCTCTCTCTGAAATTAATCTGCGAATAAAAATACATTTTTAATTTCAAGTGTTCTAGAGTTTGGTCTAAACAAAGGCCGTAAGAAAAAATATATTCTGCTGAACTAAAAAAAGTTTTTAGAAATATAAGAACTCGGCCAAGCATGGTGGCTCATGCCTGTAATCCCAGCACTCTGAGAGGCCAGGGCAGGCAGATCACAAGGTCAGGTGTTCGAGACCACCCTGGCCAACGTAGTGAAACCTCGTCTCTACTAAAAATACAAAACTTGGCCGAGTGTGGTGGCACGTGCCTGTAATCCCAGCTTCTCAGGAGGCTGAGGCAGGAGAATTGCTTGAGCCTGCGAGGCAGAGGTTACAGTGACCTGAGATCACACCATTGTACTCTAGCCTGGATGACTCCACATCATACTAACCAAAAGTTTATAACATTAGAAGAAAAACAATGGATGTTAAAAATGAAAAGTTTAAATGTATAAGAATATACTAAATGTACCTCTGAGCATCCAACTTGGGTATATTTCTTTTAACTGTTCTCTTTGGAGGTACAGGAACAGGTGCTCCACTTCCTGACTCTAGTAAAACATACCAAGATCAGTATTACTGTACTTAAAGAATTTGTATTATTGGCTCATGCCTGTAATCCTAGCACTTTGGGAGACCGAGGTGGGTGGATCACCTGAGGTCAAGAGTTCAAGACCAGCCTGGCCATCATGGTGAAACCCCATCTTTATTAAAAAAAAAAAAAAAAAAAAAGGGCCGGACGCGGTGGCTCAAGCCTGTAATCCCAGCACTTTGGGAGGCCAAGGCGGGTGGATCACGAGGTCAACAGATCGAGACCATCCTGGTCAACATGGTGAAACCCCGTCCCTACTAAAAAAAACTACAAAAACTTAGCTGGGCATGGTGGCGCGTGCCTGTAATCCCAGCTACTCAGGAGGCTGAGTCAGGAGAATTGCCTGAACCCAGGAGGCGGAGGTTGCGGTGAGCCGAGATCACGCCATTGCACTCCAGCCTGGGTAACAAGAGCGAAACTCCGTCTCAAAAAAAAAAGAATTTGTATTATTTATTAAGTATCATTTCCAAGCTGATAAGATAACTAAACATGTAACACCTTTTTTTGAAACAGGGTCTCACTCTGTTGCCCACACTGGAGTGCAGTGGTGTGATCTTGGCTCGCTGCAGCCTGAAACTCCTGGGCTCAAGCATTTCTCCCGCTTCAGCATTGTAAGTAGCTGGAACTACAGGCACAGCCTACCACACCCAGCTAATTTCAAAATCTTTAGTAGAGACGAGGTCTCGCTATGTTGCCCAGGCTGGTCTCAAACTCCTGGGCTCAAGCCATCCCTCTGCCTCAGCCTCCCAAAGTGGTGGGGTTACAGGCAGGAGCCACTGTGCCCAGCCTCCCTTTTTTTATTTTTTTCTCCTCAAATACCTTTTACCACAGCCTCCTTTTTAACACTCTTTATACATACCTTCATCAGGCTCAGCTCCTTCACCACCTTGTCTCTCTGGAGAGGCTGGAGGTGGGAAAGGAGGAAAAATTTCATCTTCTACATGCTCATAATCTGGTACGTCAATCAATCCATTTTCCTCTGGTTCTAGCATCTTTTCCTCTGGGGAAAAAATGTAAAGTTATTTGTATTCATCCAGATAGTCTTTCCACTACACAGACAAGTTCCACCCCCAGTAATTTCATGTGTTTCAATCAATTAAATCACATTTCAAACTCGCACATCATGAAAAGTAGAGAAGACACTAATTATTTAAAAAAAGGACTAGCCTAGAAATCATAACTAAGTTCCAACGTAGACCCTAACATTAAATAACGCTATCATGTCGAACAAATCCTTTTACCTCAACTAATGAGTTTCCCCTACCATAAAAAGATGAATTTGACTTTTCAGAAGGTTTCAAACTGTGATCCAATAAATAGGGTATGAAATACACAGGATATAGGTACTCCACCCCCACTTCAACTAGAGCAACTTAAAAAAAAAATCTGTTTATATACACCTACAATGTGCCCCACAAAAATTAAAAGAAAAAAAAAAAAATTTAATGCTTTTACATGCTGGTCTTCTAGGTAAGGTTTCCTTTAAAGAATGGCCAGGCGCGGTGGCTCACGCCTGTAATCCCAGCACTTTGGGAGGCAGAGGTGGGCGGATCACAAGGTCAGGAGATCAAGACTACCCTGGCTAACATGGTGAAACCCCATCTCTAGTAAAAATACAAAAAAAAATTAGACGGGCATGGTGGCATATGCCTGTAGTCCCAGCTACTCAGGAGACTGAGGCAGGAGAATCACTTGAACCTGGGAGTCAGAGGCTGCAGTGAGCCGAGATCACATCTCTGCACGCCAGCTTGGGCAACACTCTGTTCAAAAAACAAGCAAACAAAAAAGAATGGGAAATTATCTTCAGGTTGATAATTCAAAAGAATGTTTTCCAGTACTGCCTTACTTAATTTCTCAATAACAACTGAAACTTTTGGTCAGTTTTTGTTTTTGGTTTTTTGTTTTGTTTTGTTTTTACTGAGACGTAGTTTCATGCTTGTTGCCCAGGCTGGAATGCAATGGCACGATCTCAGCTCATCGCAACCTCTACCGCCCGGTTTCAAGCGATTCTCCTGCCTCAGTCTTCCAAGTACCTGGGATTACAGGCATGCACCACCACACCTGGCTAATTTTGTAATTTTAATAGAGACAGGCAGGATTTCTCCCTGTTGGTCAGGCTGGTCTTTAACTCCTGACCTCAGGTGATCTGCCCACCTCAGCCTCTCAAAGTGCTGGGATTACAGGCATGAGCCACGGGGCCCAGACTCTTGGTCAGTTTCTTTCTGGAAAAAAATGTTTACCTTAACTTCTAACACATAGTACTCACCTGGCTTCCCTCCCTTTCTGGAGACTCCTCCTGGATTTTCTTTGTAGGTTTATCTTCTAACCTGGCTATTAAGTATCCAAGACTCCATCCTAGGGCTTCTTCATTCATTTATGTACACAGCTTTAATAATTACTTATTCATAGATGACTCCCTGATTTTTATCTCTACCCTAGGCCTTGACTTTGCCGACCAGATCACTACATCCCATTTCACACCTCCTAAATGCCTCAAAGGCACCTATAACTCATCCTGTGCAAAATCGAACTTCTAAATTTTCCTAATTCAGTGAATGACATCCATTCAGCCATGCAATTTAGAAACCTAGTCATCTTTGGCTATTCCTTCCCCCTAGCCCACAGATCCTACCCTTTTTATTTCCTAAATATCCCTTGAATCTATTTATGTCTCCCTATTTCCATAAACACTTCCCAACATTTCTTGCTTCCATTACTGCATTACTCTCAACCACTCCTGCGTCCTTCAATTGTCCATATTACATCTAAACTGAATCTGAAAATGTAACGCTGATCATCTGACGTGGCTTAAGTATCTCAATAGTTGGCGTGGTGGCTCACGCTTGTAATCCCAGCACTTTGGGAGGCCGAGGCGGGTGGATTACCTGAGGTCAGCAGTTCAAGACCAACCTGGCCAACGTGGTGAAACCCCGTCTCTAATAAAAAAAATAAAGATGGCCGGGCGCGGTGGCGCACGCCTGTAATCCCAGCACTGTGGGAGGGCGAGGCGGGTGGATCACGAGGTCAAGAGATCAAGACCATCCTGGTCAATACGGTGAAACCCCGTCTCTACTAAAAATAGAAAAAATCAGCTGGGCATGGTAGCGCGTGCCTGTAATCCCAGCTACTGAGGAGGTTGAGGCAGGAGAATTGCCTGAACCCAGGAGGCGGAGGTTGCGGCGAGCCGAGATCGCGCCATTGCACTCCAGTCTGGGTAACAAGAGCGAAACTCGGTCCCCCCACAAAAAAAATAAATAAATAAATAGAAAGAAAGAAAAGAAAAGAAAGAAAGAAAAAATAAAAAAAAAAGTATTTCAGGCCGGGCGCGGTGGCTCAAGCCTGTAATCCCAGCACTTTGGGAGGCCGAGGCGGGTGGATCACGAGGTCAAGAGATCGAGACCATCCTGGTCAACATGGTGAAACCCCGTCTCTACTAAAACTACAAAAAATTAGCTGGGCATGGTGGTGCGTGCCTGTAATCCCAGCTACTCAGGAGGCTGAGGCAGGAGAACTGCCTGAACCCAGGAGGCGGAGGTTGCGGTGAGCCGAGATCGCGCCATTGCAGTCCAGCCTGGGGAACAAAAGGGAAAACCCGTCTCCCAAAAAAAAAAAAAAAAAAAAAGTATTTCAATAGTTTCTGATGGCTCTTCAAATAAAGATAAAACTCCAAGACCCTGTGTGATCTGGCCTCTTACTACCTCACCAGCCTCACTTCACACTACCCCACGTTTTTTCTTTCCCTGAAAGAGATACATCCCACAGGCCACCGGCTCCTTACGAATACTATTTCCTGTCTTGAAAGCTCTTTTTGACTCCTAATCTCTTTCAGATCTCAACTATCACCTTTTCAGACGTTTACCTCAATTTCTCTAAATTCTCCTTTAGTAAGCATTCATAATGTCAAGCACAAGTGTCATGACACTTATTCAGTTTCAGTATCAGGTTTTATTTATACGGTATTTATTGTTCATCTCCCAAACTAGACTGTAGTTCAAAAAGGGCAACCAGGTAGGCCTGTGTTCCACAGCTGGAACCCCAGTGGTGGTACACGACAGGTGTTCAATGTACATTTGATGAATGAAGGAATGCAAAAAAAGTAATTCCAAAGCTTCCCCCGAATTGGAGTTAGATGCTCTCTAAAATCTCACCAATTCTAAATTTCAATGATCATAAACATAAAAGCAAAGCATCCGCCGGGTGCAGCGGCTCATACCTGTAATGCCAGAACTTTGAGGGCCAAGGCGGGCAGATTATGAGGTCAGGAGTTCGAGACCAGCCTGGCCAACATAGTGAAACCCCATCCCTACTAAAAATAAAAAATCAAAAAAAAATTAGCCGGATGTGGTGACATGCCCCTGTAGTCCCAGCTACTCAGGAGGCTGAGACAGGAGAATCGTTTGAACCCAGGAGGTGGAGGTTGCAGTGAGCCGAGATCCCGCCACTGTACTCCAGCCTGGGCAACAGAGCAAGACTCCGTCTCACAAAAAAAAGAAAAAAGCAAAGTATCAATTCCTGATCACGACCCAGTGCAGCTTCAAGTAAGCTACAGGAATCTACAGTGGGGTTCAGACCTTTGAGGCTGACAGCGAGCTTTGAGTTTGATGGCAGTGCCCAAACTGTATCAAGTGTACGCAGGAACCGGCCAAGCACGGGGTGGGGCTTATCAGGAAATTGGCATTTCTCCTATTTGTAGTGAACAAGATGCTCAACGCACGACTTTTACTCCTCGTCAATGGTCGCACAAGTGTCTTTTTAGACACTGATGAAATTGACCCAACTTCCTCCTCTACTCCTCAAACTCCCAGGGGAGTGAAGGTAACAAATACATGGTGCAAACCACGGTTTGTTTCCAGACCCTGGTTTCCAACGTCCACCTCTTTTTTTTTTTTTTTTTTGAGACGGAGTTTCACTCTCGTCACCCAGGCTGGAGTGCAATGGCGCGATCTCGGCTCACCGCAACCTCCGCCTCCCGGGTTCAGGCAATTCTCCTGCCCCAGCCTCCTGAGTCGCTGGGATTACAGGCACGCGCCACCATGCCCAGCTAATTTTTTGTATTTTTAGTAGAGACGGGGTTTCACCGTGTTGACCAGGATGGTCTCGATCTCTTGACCTCGTGATCCACCCGCCTCGGCCTCCCACAGTGCTGGGATTACAGGCGTGAGCCACCGCGCCCGGCCACGTCCACCTCTTTCCAAGAAGCCGAAAGAGACGCCCCTCATCGCAAGGGAAGTCCTACCGTGCTGCCTCGATGTCCCCCTTGGGTCCGCCTTCGAAACATGGACCCTCCCCTACTTCTCCAGGTCCCCTCACCCTCGCCCCCCGCCTGTCCGCTCTTCAGCCTCATCCGTTCGTCCCACCTTCGCCGGGGCCTTCTGCATGTACACGCCCCGTCCAGAAGCCGGGGTAAAGACGCCGCGGAACACGCTCCCTCCGCCCAGGGGCCTGGCGGGGCCGGAGGCGGCCCACAGCCTCAGCGGCCGGGACCAGCGCCCGCGCCGCGCCCCTCCAGGCCTCGTCAGCGCCACCCCGCACTCCGACCCCTTCACGGCGACACCCAGGTTCTCCCTCCCGTCCGTCCGGCTCCCTGGCCGGTCCCGCGGGCTCCCCTCTCCCCGCACGAACTTCACCGACCTGCCCGCCAGCTCACACCGCGCGCCCCAGCGCGGGCCCGGCGCGCAGACGAGGCGCGCTTCTCGCGAGACTCGGGAATTCCAGGGGCGAGAAGAGCCCGCGGCGTTTGGCGCCAAAGCTTCGCGCGAGTCGGGCGGGGCCTCCAGGGCCCGCCTCTCAGTCCCGCCCACCACGCCGGGCCCGCCTCCGGCCCCACAGCTTCCGCCCTGTGGAATTCTTCAGAGGAATCCTGTTAAGCTTCCTTATCTGCATAAAGCTAATACTTACTCTAGGCTTTTTCTTTTTTCTTTTTTTTTTTTTTTTTTTTTTTTTTTTTTTTTAAAAAACGGGGTTTCACCACGTTGGTCAGGCTGGTCTTGAACTCCCGACCTCAGGTGATCCGCCCACCTCGGCCTCCCAGAGGGATAGGATTACAGGCGTGAGCCACCGCGCCCGGCCTTTTTCTTTGTCCTGAGACAAGGTCTCTGTATCACTCAGGCCGGAGAGCAGTAGCGCGATCTCGGCTCACTGCCGTCTCGACCTCCCGGGCTGAAAGGATCCTCCCCGCTCAGCCTACCTTCACCGACTAAACCACCGCACCCAGCTAATTTTTCTTTTAATGGGTTTTTATTGTTTGTTTGTCTGGCAGAGAATGGGTTTAGCTGCCCAGGCTGGTATCGAACTCCTGGTCGCAAGCGATCCCCCGCCTCAGTTTCCCAAAGTGCTGGGATTGCAGGCGTGAGGCACCGCACCCAGCACTTTAAACCTTGGAAACAGGTCTCGGTGTTTGGAAAACTGAGCTGTGGGAGGAGGGAAAAGGACAGAGGCAAGCAATGGTGAACGAGAAACTACCGCTTCTTCGGTGGTCCTAGCAGAATGCCTCCAACTCAGGGTTTTGTGAATTGTTTATTGAATAATAAGCTGAGAGAAGAGGCGGTACAGAGAGGAGAAACAGGGGTAAGAGTGCAGACGCTGGCCGGGCGCGGTGTGGCTCATGCCTGTGATCCTCGCACTTTGGGAGGGCCAGGCCGGTGAATCGCTTGAGCCCACGAGTTCATCGCACCGCTGCACTCCAGCCTGGGCCACAGAGTGAGACCCTCCATCAAAAAGAGAGAGAGAATGTGAGTATAGACGAAAAGAAAAATGTCAAAACTACGATACTTGGTCAGACCTGGTGGCTCATGCCTGTAATCCCAGCACTTGGAGAGGCTGAGGCAGGAGGATTGCTTGAGCCCAGGAGTTGAAAACAAGCCTGGGCAAGATACTGAGACCCTGTCTCTATTACAAAAGGAAAAAACATTTTTAAAAACTTACTGTTAGGCCGGGCGCGGTGGCTCAAGCCTGTAATCCCAGCACTTTGGGAGGCCGAGGCGGGTGGATCACGAGGTCAAGAGATCGAGACCATCCTGGTCAACATGGTGAAACCCCGTCTCTACTAAAACTACAAAAAATCAGCTGGGCATGGTGGTGCGTGCCTGTAATCCCAGCTGCTCAGGAGGCTGAGGCAGGAGAATTGCCTGAACCCAGGAGGCGGAGGTTGCGGTGAGCCGAGATCGCGCCATTGCACTCCAGCCTGGG